CGTGCCACGCACGTCGAGAATTTTTTGTCCCAAAATTGCAATGTTTTCTCAATTTTAAGTATTATTTAAGTATAACCCAGACAGAGCAGATAATAAATTTGTTACATCTCAATAATTTCTATCCGGTGATATCACACCGACGAGTTCAAAAAGAAAGCGACGAATTACTGTATACGGTTTGGTCACTCGTTATGGTCCGCGATCAGTTGCCCAGCGCAAGTGGTTAAACAATCTAACGAACCTAGATTCTGTGATCGTCGCCTGCTCTTCGAAAGAAATAATCAAAATTTCTTCAAGGGAAAGAGACGTAAATCGCAAGACGGCCACCTATTCGTGGAAAATTTGCGTGAAACATCGATTCCACGATTTTGTCACGAAATTTACGGCGGATGATACCGAAGAGAAGAGAAGAATGACGGAGAGAAAGAGGAGAACAGTCGGTCCTAAACGGCGATGGAACATTTATCTCGAGTGTCACTTCACCCAACTTTCACCGGCACAATGTCACTCCGTTCTCTGGCTGGTAGCTCGCCCTTTTTCCGCCCGTTCTTGTCCACGTCGAAGGGCGTCCACGAAAATCGTCGTAATGGAGCTTCATTCAACCGACGTAGCAGTGTCGTTTGCATTTCTTGCGATTTATCTTCGTCGTTGGTAACACCGTTCAGCGGGAAGGCACTTCTGCCCCTTTTGTCATAATAGATCCGCGACCGTGCTACCGGGGATCAACGTGATCACCAACTGTCTACGCCTTTGTGCCTGCCTACCACCATCATGTCGAATTCTGTCGTAAAGGTAACGGTTGAAAGGTATTCTTCAGCTTGTAAACTTCTGTTTGGCACGATCTATGTTTTTGTGTGAAACATTACTCTCTGATTAAGTCGACGTTTAACGAGTAAATTCTACCGAAGTACACAACTTCGATCTTTACACTGCGTCGAATATAACTTGATCGTTGGAGATTTTGTATCTTGGGCAAGCGGTCCAGTTTTTCCGTGTAAAAATGAACAATATTTCTACATTGAATCCTTGATTTTAGTTTCGAATAAAACTGCTATCGTGCACTCGGAGAGCTTAGATCATTGAGCAATATTAGAATCGAATATCTCAATCTACCTGGTCACGATGTCGCTTTGAAGCAAGGAATTATTTTCATCGATGTTCTTCGAAAAGGATTGCGTTCTATGAAGTCGGCGATCTCTGTAGTTCCGTATGGAACGAATTTTCTAACGCGTAACCAGCGTCAAGTCAGTTTGCTACTGATGACTATATGGAGGCTCAACAATGCCATCACCCGTTCATGAATGTCGGTCGATATATCATTGAAAGTGACCGCGACTAAACCGATGTCATTTCTACGATGCTTTCCATTTTCGTTTGGCAAAAAATTGAAGAAACTTCGAAACGAACGAGCTTTCAAGTTTGACGGCAGTCCTTCGTTTGTTATCGAGGTGAATTTTCGAATTTTTTAAAAAATTCATTTTCCATTTTTTACGAATTGTGTGATTTGCAAGCATCGCGCGGAGAGAGTTATCGAATTTTGAAATTCATATTTGTTTTGAGGGAAATTTTATTTTGTACACAATAAATCAGTTTTAAAAAATAGATTATTTTATAAAAAATAAATTACTCAGTTTTACGATGGATTTTTTTTTAGATATAAGATTATTAAATAGAAAATTATAGAGTAATTTTTGTTTAGCATTTCCATTCGCCCCTATATATAGAATTAAAAAACGTTAATGTTTCATTGAAAATATATATGTATATTTGAATTTAATTTTTAAATCTCTCTGAAATTGAATCCCACTTATTTAAAATGTTTAAATTCAATTAAATGCAATACTGTATAAAATAATGGAAATAACAACATGGTCGCGATATCTAACAGTAAGATTTAAAATTAAAAGCATTGCTAGTGATTTTATCCTCAAAGGATAAGTAACATGTTCTATGATACCGATCGTCCATATTTTTTGAGCACACAATGAACGAAAATAGAAACACTACGTTAGTAGTAATTAAAATTACAATTAAAGAAGTATAAAATTACAAAATTACAAATCGCAGCCAATTAACTCATATCATTGTATTATTCATGACTTTATGTATTAAGTACATGTCAATCTTTCAAATGGAGCGTTTTTATTGTCGAAACGAAACTGCGCAGTATTCAAACCATTCGATGCGCAGAACCATTGATTAAGAATAGGATAGACTGGACATTGTGTGAAGATTTGTGTCTCAGAATCTGATATACCGATCAGGTAAAATCACTGATTTTTTTAGCGCACTCTACGTTTAAACAACGGTAAGTTAGGAAACTACAACAAGTGAAACGATCGAAGTTGGTTAAGTAGTGAACGCGCCAGAAATATGAATTTTGAAACCCATTACAGTGTCGTCAAACTATCGCGAAGTATCTCGATCGATTCCATAATTTGTACTTGAAACAAATTTAAGAAACTAAAAGAGATTAAAGAGGTAAAATCTGTAAAATATACAACTCTTACTTGCAGTTAGATGAAACATCATTTTGTTGTAACAATTTTTTTTGCTGACGAATGACCACCTTTGTACAGCTCTTGTAGCTGTATGATAGTCTTCCACGAATCCAGTGGAAGTATTTGGGCATTTCGTAAACGCAACGCTACTTTAGAAAAGAAATTCATTATCGCAATACTAACAATTAGAAGAAAATTAATTGAAAATCGCGAAAAGACAATATCGCAACACTAAGAATAAAAGTAACATTGAAAATCACGATGAAATAATGTCGCAACACTAACTCTAAAATTCAATGAAAATTATTGTCAACAATGCAAAAGCTATTGTACGAAGAGAAAACTACTTTTGAATATTCTAACAGTCTAAAATTAATTAAAAGCAATGATTCTATAATATAATTTAAAACAAGAAAAAGCAAGATAAATTTACATGACAGCCACGAAAATTAACAATTATAATTGCAAAAAACAATCACCGTATCATAATTCGCAACTCTAAAGCAAACATGATTATCATTTCTTCGCAACTCTAATTCAATCTTTCGTAACACTAGGAAAACCGTGATTTGCCCAAAACGATGATGAACGATGATGAAGAAAAAAAAAAAAAAAAAACACAACTACAAATACTAAACGAGCATAGTGACAAAGTAATAACGAGAATGACCTCCCATGCTCTCGAACCATTTGAATGATCCAGAGGATGAGGAGCCATTTGTTGTAACCCTCTTCGTGGCATTTTGCCGGGCCTCTTCAGCTTTTAGCCTCTTCTTCCTTCGAGCGCAATGCCCGCTGAAACTTACATCTAGCTCGAGTCTTTCTAATCGCAAACCAAAAAATAATTTATAAGCTGACCTCAATACACATGAACGACCATCGATCATAGTGATCGTTGTCCGTTCGCATGTCCGTGCTCGAGCAATACCTATATAAACGTTCGTTTCGAGACAGACTCGCGGCCCTATCCACGACCGCGACCGCGATACTAAATTCGAAAAATCGAAGAGTAAAACCAGAAACAAGTGGCATGCTCCATTTGTACCAATTTCACTGTCGACTCTTCAAATTAGATTTCCTGAAACAGGTTGGACACGCGAAAAGGAGACACGCGACCAGAGACTGTGCCAACCTGCCCGGCCCTACCTACTTACAATTAAACACAGACATACTAGAAAGTAAGCTACCTATCCTAACCAGTCGCCCTATATTTAAAAAATGGCAAAACAGGCACACCAACACATTCACTCCNAACACACAACTTTCACACTCTAATTTACGTACCATTTTCCTGAAATCGACTGACAATGGCTAGCGACCATCGCGTAAAACGTGACTAAAAACACGTTTACAAGCATATGTGAGACAGTAATAACTGAGAAAGATTGTATAATTATTAATATAATTATAGTGTATTTAATAGATATTATTATAATAAATTCATGCTTCAAATTAGTGCGTAAATATTTTAAATATTTGTAATGAATGGAATAATAGAAACGACGCAATTCCGTATCCTAACCACACACACACATTCGGAAAATACGTCGTGCACGATACACTAACGCATTGTCAGTCGCTGAGAAATTTTTTATAAAATTACAAACTATGGTCATCGTGCCCAATGTCTTTCACCCACCCAAGTAGCACCTGGGCACGTGAGTGAGATCTTGACAATGAACACGGAAAGGGTTAAATCTGAAAATCCTGAACTAGAAAAATAATTAGTTTATGTAATTTGTATCTAACGGACTATTGCATTATTTTATTTCAAACAAAAATTAAAATTGAAATTGCAAGAGAATAAAGACAATGAACAAGAATTGAATTTATTAAGAAAGATATGAAATCTATCAAATTAGTAAAACAATCAAAATCAAACAATTGACTCTAAATTAAACATTAATAGAAACAATCTCACGCGATTTCTTTATCAAAGCACACTTTCGAAAATGCGAAAGCAGTGTTCAAACTTGTTGCTTTGATTCAAAAATCTGCCTGTCGCGAAGTATCTTCTTGCACATAAAATTTCATACATTTTTCTGCGGAAAAAATTCTAATTTATTATATTTCGAATTTCACTGAAATTTATAATTATAAAACTCAATTAATTAAATCACTCAATACTATCATAAAAGAGAAAATGAAATTGCAAATTGTTCATTACTGTAACAGTTATTAACTAAAAATTATTATAATAAAAAATATCGCCAGTATCAATAAGTAATAATTGCATCTTTCATAGCAACGAAGTCGGAGGATATCCGTCTTCTCTACTATGAAATGCTTAAACGAAATCATTTTAATAATAATTATTTATAAATATTTATAATTTATCTATTCATATGGATATTTTACTTTTGCAAACATTTATATTGAAGATATTTTGACTTTACAAGTAATTATTATGACTGTATATATTCAAACTAATTGTTAAAATCGCGATGTGCAAAAAGCCCTATCCTAATATAATACACAAAAAACTTAAATGAATGTTACTATTCACGGGTATAAAAAATACCCGCGGTCACTATGCTCATAAAAAATTCTACGTATACAACCAATCACCCGTGCCGATTCGGACCTTTCATCCTACGACATGATTGAGTGACCGGAGGAACATAAATGCATGCGACTCACGCGATAGATGTGAAGGACGTTATCATCGATGCTGCACTGGAGCGGGGAAAGTTGTCGTGAAGACTCTCTCATCAATTAGATACCATTGAGAATCCCATGGTGGAAGTAGACGCCGTGAAAAATTTCTGGAAAAACATTTTGTTTCTAAAGACAAAGTGTTATTTGTAAAAATTTAAATTTTAATAATGGCAAAAACTGGGACTAATAATTTGATGTATTTTTATTTTATAATTATAATTTTACATTCGACTTCAATAGAAAGAAAAATACAGAGAATAAAATTTAAATACAACATGCTAAATAATACTTACATTTTTAGCTTTTGAAGCTATAAGATTCTCAGAGGATTAGGGGAAGTGGAGATTGTAGAAGATCTGTAACAAAACATTAAACATTAGAATTTGTATTTAAAAGCAAAGCAAACTCTGAAGTTGGAGATAATGAAAGATTCTTACATTCTTGTCTTTAGAGCCATCGTTGGATTTTCCCCCAAAAATATAAAAAAATTAATTCGCTGATGCGAAGCGTATAACAAAACGTCAAACATTGTACTTTGTTGTTAAGTTTGAAAAATTGAGTGAATTAAGTACAATATACAAAACTACTTACAATCTTGATCTCCTGGATCGCCTTATCCTCTTCAGCACTGACTCTAATACCGAAAACGAATATTGAATAAGAAAAAATACAAGACTAACTACGCGCGCGTTTAAGTAGCAATCGGCGGACTCACTGACTCTAACTTCGCGAATTATAATTTAAAATTATAATTAATAATCTGATTTAATGAGAGCCAATATTACGCAACAAACACTGACTCTACTGACCGCATTGCGCGCGGTCACAAACATTTTCTGAAAATAAAGCTGATTAGAAGGGGAAGAGCAAAGAGTACGTTTATTTAAAAAACTGCTACTTTTCTAGAACATGATTATAAACTTGAGTATGCATTAAAGATATTAGTTGGAAAGTATTTTTCAATATTTGCAGAAATATTTATAAAAACTGTATTCTGTATGTTCATTATTGAAGTGAAGTATGTAACATATTACGTCATGTTTTATAAATAGAAAAATTATGTTGTAGCAAAGTATAGCAAAGTACAAAAACTCTGAATTTAATAATCTAATACAAGAATACATTTGAAAGTACATACCATTAAGCTATTACAATTTCCATATTCGAAATGAAATATTTAATTTTTTCATTTTCATCCTTATAATTACGTAATTGTGAATTGTATTTTAAATATATATAAATTACATAGTAAATGTTACTTAGAATGAATTAAAATGAATAAAATACTATCAACTTTGCGTGAGAATTCATTAGATTTGTTCATTAATGATCGTGGCATCTATGCTTTCTATGCTATCTTTGCAATCAAGGAATAACCTGCACAAAAAGAAACCAAAAGTTAGAAAAAATATGTCAAATGAAGGCAAATGTGTAAAAGTGAAACGATAATCATCTTCAAATTCTACTAAAAAAATATACGAGACAAGGTACCGGTAACTGTAAGAGTAAAATCGATGATCGAAGAAAAATCAGCATGAAAAGCTTCAAAATCTTATTCGATTTCGTTATCTTGATGCTCAATAAATAGACAAACACAGGCGTATTAATTCATAGTATTAATGAAGTATAAATGGTAGTAAAAGAGTGTCGAAAAAGCGACGCCAACGAAGAGACGCTACCGATAGATTAAAATACGACGTAATACGTGTTGTTGACATGAAATTCGACAGCCGAATGACTCTCCGCGACACGTCTCGTCGCGTTATTGAGGAAATAGTAGGGGATTAGGTGAACTTGTCCGAGAGGCACAATAATTAAGACGAACGTAAACATTGCGTTTGTGTTGTTTTGAATTTCGGGCTTCAAAGCCTTCTACGCCTTACTTTAGTTGAGAAGTACAAAGTTTCATTATATTATGCAGTAAAATTATTAATTATTTTAACTATTAAATACGTACATTTTTGATAAGTTATTGTTGAATTTAAGCAAAAAATGCACGTTCTATCTTAAAAATTCAAAACACAAACACAAATCTAACAGCTATTGATCTAAGTTTTTACCTGAGAACTTCTGGACATTTCTTTCTCGATAATTCTTCTGGATAATACTTTCTTTTTTACAGACGAGGTATGCTTCCTTCCGCCATTATTCCCGCTTGGGAATCGATCGAGAGAAATATCGATTACGTCTGAGAATCGTAGGAACTGATTCCGCACTTCGCCGTTGGCGCTGTAATCGCACGAAATGTTAACTGCGAAAAAAAGAACTCTGGCATAAATCAAATATACAAAATTCATGAGAAATTTTTAAAAAGGAACGAAAATATTCGTACATTAGATGAAAAACTGAGAAATGAAAAATTACCTTAAACTGAGAAATGATAAATTTTATTATATTACGTAGTAAAATTATTACTTCAACTACTAAATACGTACATTAATAAATTACTGTTGAATTTAGTATTAGACTTGTTAAGAACTACGCAGTATGAAATTAAAGAATCAACAAACGAGTAGAAAATGTGTGTACAATAGCATATAATAAAATATGTGTATATAACAATGAATTAGTCAATTACAAGATCACAATATTTGTATTGGTTAGAATTGAAATTAAATTTTGGTACAAAATTATAAACAACTATTAGCACAGTATGTTCTATTTATATACTATTATTTCTTTAATTGTTGAAAATTATATGTAATAATTATTTGGTTAAATCTTACTTTGAGTTGAAGCCAAAAAAGCACATTTTATCTTAAACATTCAAAATATAAACACAAATTTAACAATTACTGATTTAAATTTTTATCTGAGAACTTCTGTGGATGATTTTTCTGGACAATATTTTCGTGTTTACAGATGAGGTATGCTTCCTTCCGCCATTCTTCCCGTTTAAAAATCGATCCTGAGAAATATCGATTATGTTCAAGAATCGTTGGAAGTGTACTTCACTGTTGGCGCTGTAATCGTGCATTGCACGAAATGATAACTAAAATAAAATATATTATATTCTAAAATAAAAAACTCTAAATCAAATACACAAAATTCATTCGAGACATTCTCAAAAAAGGACAAAAATATTCATACACTAGATAAAGATTGTCAATACTTTGAACTATTATAATTTCGTGAAAAAAATTGTATAACAATTAACTTGATTTTATTTTAAAGAGCCAAGTCTCCACTTTAACAATCCTTATTCAATCCAATTCAAGCTCTGAAGTTACACATTAACACAAGTAAAAAACGTCATATCTAATTATGTTGTTAAAAAATATATTTCAATCATATTTTTCTAATACCTTTAAACAGATGTAAATAATTAAATATATAATGAATTTTTCATTCCAATTTCCATCAATCGCTGTTTTAAATCGTTATGTTCCTTCATCGATGAAGCACCACCACGTTCAATTCAATAAATAACTCGAAGCAGGTGTGACAATACTGTCCACATTTTTTAATTTTAATTTTCGTCACTAGTAGTGCTGCGGTGCCTCTATCGGTACGACAGGATGTGACGAAAATGGTAAGGAGGTCCTAGAACTTTCAAATCATGGGCTGAAAAAATACATTGTATGCGAGAGCTATTTATATATCTGTCTGTGTCCATAACATCCAGCGCAAGAGACTATTAAATTAATAAACATAATACATCGCGCGACATAATACATCTTAATGCCATGATTTTGAACGATAGATTAATCCGCGCGCAACAGGTTGCGTTACTAATTACTTTTGTAAATGCTTGGACAAATAGGATTGATTTACTGAAAAACAAAGTTCAATCAGAATGTTTCTAATATATTCAAATATTTATATATTTTGCTATTTTATTGACGATGTAATTTTCCCAAATTTAAATCTTTGCGCGCGAATTTCAAACGTTGATGATACATTATCTTTGACACAAAGAAAAAAAAAAAAGAAATTCTTTTCATAAATGGAATACTTCTCATTTATTAAATAAGACAATTGATTTAACGAAGTGTCTATACTTTTGTTCTTTTATCTAAGAATCGTGTCTTAATTTCAAATTTTACAATTAGTTCATTGAGTATCATGTCTCTTCTATATCTCGTTTATGATAGAAGATACGAGGAGAGTAGATAAATCCTAATATAAAGTATTGACTTTATTAATTTTCGTAATTCATACATCTGGATATAATTTCTGTATCTATTTTTAAACTCTAAATATCATAATTTTTGGCACGATCTTTGACATTTTGCACGACCGATACATCAGATTATGTGACGTAAAGTTTCATAAGAAGATAAATCTACTTTATAACTCGTTTGTGGCACTATATATGTATATGTGTTTTGTCTGTATCGTTAGCAACAATAAGAACCAAGATGTCTGCTCTAGCGATTTTGGCGCCCTAATATTAGATAGTATATAGAGGGAATTGCTGCTCTAAGTTCGGACACTCGTTTAACCTGTTCGCAGTGTGACAGAAGATTTAAAAACGCGATAAGTATTTTACAAAGCTTTATTTCGCTTCAGGTAATAAAATATTGTGTGGAAAAACGGACATACAAAGAGGTACGTTATAACATTTATTTCTTTCATATTCACATAAACAAATCGCTTTTGTTTATCTGAAGGACATAACCTATGTTTTCACTTGTAGATTTATTTAGAAATTAATGTTCATCAAGACAATTTTTTATTGTCTAATATTATTGTTTTAACATGTTTTACATTAATATTATGCTTTTGAATTTTTATCTAATATACGATCGCTATAAAAGAACAATACTTGTTTGCGCGGATTTCTAACCTATAAACTGAAACATTATTTATTAATCATTGAATTCAAATTCGTGTATTGTTCAATTTTACTTACTTATAATTTGTGCAAATAATGTTTTTGTTATTAAATTTGTATACTATATATTAAAAATTAATAAATAAAACATAATTTTTATACATATATTTACAGTGATATGAAGAAGGTAAAGCTGTGACAGTGGGAATTAAATATAAAAATAACCCCGGTGACGACAGGAATATCTAACCTTATGCCCTCAGCTACCGGTATATACTAAACACTTTGTAAATATATAAATATTTAGTTGTTTGTACAAGGGTACTGTTTTACATATAATTTTTGTATTAATTAATTTCTTAACATTTGTTAATAGTAAAGTAAACCAAAGTAAGCCTTGAGAAGTGTTGGACTTGACATATATTTATTCAAGTTAAATAATTGATTGTATAATGAATACCAAAGGTTTAATGCCAATATATGACCTTTATATAATGAATGTGGCACATACGTATTACAGGAACTGTGAAGCAAAATAGATAAAATACTTTGGATTTATGTGGATGAAATTATGTGAAACATCTTTCCAGAAGACATAATTGAAGTTCTATTTAAAAGTAGTAGAATAGATTAAAACATGCAATGAAGTTCCCAAGAAATATTCAGTCACTGTTGCTGCAAGAAAAGGTGTGCGCTTTCAGAGAATTTCAGAAGAATGCACAAATCCTGGAAGGTGCAGTTATATGAGCCATTATGTAGGCTCTGTAAGATAAATAATAAAATTTTTAATTTATAAAAAAATACTACCAAGTATTACATAATATTTGTTATAACTTCATATAATTTGATATAGAAACATGTCTAAATAATCTTTGTGTAATAAGTTTATATATCAATATAACATAAGGTACATGGCTATTGATTAAGATATAACAATAAAATTCTATTTTTATATTGGGATCTGATTCTATACTTAACAATTTGAGATTTTCATTTATGGTTGGTCTGTATCTATGTGTAATATTAATAATCATTTCTATTATTCAAGAACTAATGCTTACTCAAGGCAATTAAAATGTGAATATATAAACAGTACCAACCAAAAATGGTTTTTCTTACTGTCTATATTGATGATAATTAATGTTAGGAAGTATAATTTATATACATGTTAACTATTCAAATAACGAAAGAAATAATAAATGAAAAAACTATATAATGTATCGTATTATTAATATTTGATCATTTTAAACATTAATAATGGTCATCGTCGATTTTTTTATTTCATTTGGAATAATATATGTTTCTTCACATATTTTTAGGAGGAACTAACCCTATAGGTCAGCAGAAGGGTGGGGCGACTATGCCCAGTAATGAAGAATGTGGGATTCGAGATGTTTGGGGACATAATCTCGAAGAGGAATTTCGAACTATTCGGCAAGTCGTCCAACAGTATCAGTACATTGCAATGGATACTGAGTTTCCAGGAGTAGTTGCGAGGCCCATTGGTAAAATATAACGAAATCATAATTAAATCGTGTAATAAATATCCATAAATAAAATACAATATATCTTTATTCTAGGCGAATTCAGAACTAGCGCTGATTATCAGTACCAGTTACTACGATGTAATGTAGACCTCTTGCGGATAATTCAACTCGGTCTTACATTTCTCGATGAATCGGGGAACACACCTGGTGGTAGTTATACGACGTGGCAATTTAATTTCAAATTTAATTTACAGTAAGTTGTACAGAATTCAATCTACAACAGCATGAAAATATAGATCATAATAACAATAATGAATAATTTTCCAGAGAAGATATGTATGCACAAGATAGTATAGACATGCTGCAAAACAGTGGTATACAATTCAAAAAACACGAAGAAGAGGGTATTGATCCGTTAGATTTTGCCGAACTATTAATGACATCGGGAATTGTTCTTGTTGACGACATAAAGTGGCTATCCTTTCACTCTGGTTATGATTTTGGCTACCTATTGAAACTCCTTACAGATCAAAATTTACCACAAGAAGAAAGTGAATTCTTTGAACTTCTTAGGATATATTTTCCAACAATATACGATGTAAAAGTATGTATTGTACAGACATTTGTGATGGTAAGAATAACGAAAATTTTTAATATAAATTTTGTTCACAGTATTTAATGAAATCCTGCAAAAATTTGAAAGGAGGCCTACAAGAAGTAGCAGAACAATTGGAAATTCAAAGAGTTGGGCCCCAACATCAAGCAGGTTCTGATTCGTTACTTACGGGAATGGTTTTCTTTAAAATGCGAGAGGTGAGTTAATATTTCAAATAAAAATATATACATTAACAAATTATATTACAGGTATAATGTGGAATAAATTTTGTTTTAGATGTTTTTTGAAGACAACATTGACGATGCGAAATATTGTGGTCATTTGTACGGTTTGGGAACATCATTTGTCGTGAACGGTTCAGGAGGATATCTAGACAGTAATGGAGATAATTCTTCATCTTCGTAATGTTAAAACTATCCATCTCAGCCAGAACAGATTATTTCATTACGAATAAAATGTTATAAATAATGTTTCACTTAATGATCAAGCGTATAGTTCATATCCACAATATTACATTCAAATCACTGCTGTAGATTATAAAATATCACTACTTGAAAATGAAACTATAGGAACATTTTTTTATATTTGTGCATTTTTTGTATCCACGAATTTGAGTCTTTCGTAGGTTTCTTCTGTGATACGTGCTATTAATCGAAAATATTTACAATATTGTGCAACATAAAATGTGTAATATAGTTTCTTTACAAGCGTTTGTGACAATATTGGTATACAAGATACAATTGCAGTACAAAAGAAAAAAAAAAGGAAACAAATATACTTTTAAGATTTTGCAAAATCTCTATTGGAATGTGGAAGATTTGACTAAGAACAACACAAAGAATAAAAAAAATAAGGAAAAGGAAATGGAAGATTGCATTGTTTAAGTACATCTATCAGTGTTCATATGTACATTTGTCATACAATGCATTTATAGATCAATATATTTTAAGCCTGATAATTTCTTACATTTAGTGTTTTAATAAACATTCATCAAAATTATGCTTTGTGCAATTTTAGATCATCAGATCAGAAAAGAATAATTCTGCGCAGTATATGAAAAATACATTCTATAATTCTGTTATACTATTTCATAGAGAATACAATTAGCCAGCAATTTCTTCTTTTCCTTTTTGTTACTTTATTTTTCAAATAGCATCTCTTACACGCTGTATTTTTTATTGTGAAGTGCATTAGTTACAAGATAAATCTTAAGTTAAAGATAAATCTAATGATAAAGATAAATCTTTTGCCACAGTTTAAGAATAAATATCGTAAACCACATTTCTTTTGTAAATAATACAACGTTCCGAGAATACAATAAACATCTTACATAAAAACATTGTAATTTTTAATATCGATTATAAAAACGAAAGCAAGAGAAAAGACTTTTTGAATTACTTAAACAACTATAATAAAGCAATTCCCAATTTTATGTCCTTTAAAGGGCGTTTTGTATCCTTTCGGAAATGGGTCACTAGTCCTTCGTTTGTTTTATTCGTTCAAGTTTCAACGTTACCTTATCCACCTGTAGTAAGAAGATAAATGCGTTTTATCACAACATAACTATCAGGGCAATGATATCAGTACCGTTATCATTACTCTTTATCCGAAAGCAAGCTCAGTCTCTTTTAGTAAATTAGACAAATCGGTACATCTACTTCTGTTAAAAATGCGGTATGAATTCTGTCTCGGTCGTGTTTTCGCGTTTCCAAAGTCGGTCATTTTCTGGTGTCTCTTCGTTTTATTAATCAACCAGATATCAACGCAAATCGAAAATGAAACGTTCGAGAATGCGTTTGGACTGGATACTCAATCAATGGATAACAAGGAATCGATATACGCAGAAAGTAACGAGAATATTGGGCAAATACCGTCGATAGAAACGCAGTCCGAAGTGGTGGATTTGAACGAAGGTGGACATAATTATGGCGACAATGACGAAACGGAAATAGGGATAGAAGAAGTTCCAGCTAGTGGAATTGATGATGATCCTGATCAAAAAAATAAACCTGAAGATGAAATCGCAATTTCCCATGGTCTTTCCGGTAAAATGGCCGGAAGAAAAATTGGAAAATACGTGAGATATGGTAAGTATAATATCCGATATCAATGGGCGTGACCATTATATTTTCTTTTCTATTTGTGTAAAAACCATGAAAATGTAAAATCGGACAAGGTTTCTTTTTTAAATTTTAAGAAAAAGTACAACGAACGTTTTAATGAAAAAAATTGCGCGTTCAGCTATGTTTTTTTTCTTGAAGTTATACTTGACTGATAGATGCACTATAGATGTGCGATTTTACTATATAGTCCAACTAACGAATCAGATCTTATCTGTTTTATCAGTTACTCACTCTAGCATGAATCGGAGATGAATCATTGGATATCGTAACTTTCGTAACACGAATCATTCTTCTACATACATGTAGTTCTGATATCTGAACTAAAATTATTTCGTTTATTTCTACCATTACACCCAGCCTAATCTAAACGATCGTGTTATCGTTCGTATAAACATGTTTCGTTTGTAAAGATATAATGTGCTAAAGATGTTAAAAGAAAATTCGCTAGTAACAATGTTTTCATTTCTGCAAAACTTGCGAATTAAATGATCAAAGCTTAAATTACATTACATATGATATTTATTGATAGCAAAATATCGGAATTCACATGTCCTTACAGATTCCGATTCGCCGGAGGCAGATAGATATGCCCCCCGTCCGGATGATACAGTTCCAAATTATGTCTTGACGGAGACTAGACTGAAAGAAATTCGATCACGTTTCATGTATTGGTACTTCGATAAGGGCGGTAGCGATGATCAAGGCGATTATCAGAAAGAAATCCAAGCATCGACGCCGCAAGTGCACAAGAACTTTAATTTCCAATTACCCTTCTTCGGATTCAGATTCAATTACACCAGAGTACGTTTCTATTTGTTATCTCCTTGCAGATAAATTATTAAAGCTATTAGTGACACTATTAGTCAATTTAATCTGACAAGATTCTCGATTCTCGAGTCTCTGTTTACATGTTACACGTTACAGGTATCAATGAACGGTTTCTTAGAATTCAGCGATCCTCCGATACATTACACGTACCCTCTTGTATTTCCGGTTAAGGACTGGCCAAAGAAGAACGATCCTAGTTTCATTGGAATCTTCTTTAGTAAATGTCGCATAGGAGATGTACGACCAACTGACATAGATCAGAGGAGGCCTGGTGTATATTTTAGGTCGGTCGAAAATTACAAAAATCGTTGGGTAAAATTTTAGATAACATTGAGATTCATTGAAACGAATTTTAGGCTAGAGCGAGATTTACAAAGGAGAACAGATCAATTTGGCGTCGAAATGCGCGAACGTCTGAAATGGGACATTCGCGAGGGAATTATTGGTACTGAAGCTTTCGACCCTAAACACGCAGTCATAGTAACGTGGAAGAATATGTCCTTCACCGGTGGTATCGATAATTCACTTTACAAAACGAACACTTTCCAAATGATCCTGGCCACGGACGAAGTGAACACTTACGTGATATTTAACTATCTGGATATCCAATGGACCAGTCACACGGAAGCTGGTGGTGATACCACGAATGGAGAGGGCGGAGTTCCAGCGTTCGTAAGTTCATCTATATTTCAAATAATTTTTACATTTTACACGTTACAACTGCGCCAATTGTTGCACCTGAATGGATGAATATTCCTTTACTATTTTACAATTAGGTTGGGTTTAACGCTGGAAACGGCACACGAAGCTACGAATACAAGCCGTACTCTCAAATGTCAACGATCCGCGACTTGACCGGAAGGGGATGGGCGAACGGCTTTCCGGGACGTCACATGTTTAGGATAGACGAAAATATAATGCCTGCAGTTTGCAACAAAGACATTGGTAAAATTAAATTATAATAGCAAGGAGTCATTAATGATGATGGTTGTCACCCTGTAAAATGATACAACGTTTCTTCTAGCTGGAGCAAATTTGCCTCTCGTGTTCGCACCGGAGAGCGGAAATATGTTGGGTGGCACGATTGTGAATATCACCGGCCCGTGTTTCAACGAGACTGAGAAAATCCGGTGCATGTTTGAAACTGAATGGGTAATAGGCACTGTCATCGACAGAAATCGAGCGATATGCGTTCAGCCGTTCGTGAAAGCGCAAGGATACATTCGATTCGCAATCAGCATTGGCGACAGTAAAGCTTACAATTGGAAGGGGAAATATTTCATTGGTAAGACACACAGTGACAGAGTTGTAGAAATTCGGTAGAAAAAGAATTTGATTCTTCAATAGATAAACATTGTAATAATCTTCATCAGAGACCCCAGCTACAGCAACCGAGAAGATTTTCGTGTCCAGCAACGTTCACGAGGCATATCCAGCCGAAATAAAAATTACTTGGGACAGATACAATTTGACCAGCAATTTGAACGCGGGAGTACAGATAGCTTTGTGGGGATACCGCGAGACGAAAACCACTCCTGAATTCGAATACATCACTACTTTGGAGGTTGGTTCGATAAATAATTTCCGCGCGATAGTATACATAATTTTTATCATCGATTTAAGAAAACATTATAATTGGAAAATTATAGGCAGCATATACGAATTTGGGCTCCTATATCATTAGACCAGCAACATACCGCGACTTTCACAACCCGTATCAGCAGGACATAACTTTCGGATTTATTCAGCTTAATTTAACGGATCCATCGCAACAAACAGGCCTTAACATCACCCCGTATGTAAATCACGCAATGCGTGAAAGAAAATGTATTTAGGAATTGTTATATTCGGACGGCATGCTTGGATGGTTTGATAAAAAATTGTTATAGGAGTCTATGGAGTAGGCCGATTCCACTAGCCTGGTACTTTGCTCCACAATGGGAAAGAGCATACGGAGCAAAGTGGCCTCAACGACTTTGCGACAAATGGATCATGAACGACAGATATTTGAAGAATTTCGCGGCGGAAGTATCTCTGTGTCCTTGCACCTTGAAGCATGCATTGAGCGACAAGGGTCGTTTCCTTCCAGATTATGATTGTGACAAAGACTCGAATTTGGATTGCATGTACAACCAGCATGCTCATCATTGTGTGAGAACAGGGGCACCAAAGTAAGTAACATCTCTCTATAAAAAAAAAAAAAAAAATGCAATATCATAGGTAAAAGATTCTCAACTTTCGCTTCTAAAATTCTAGTATGGACGGTTCTGAGCAGCAATGTTGTTACGATAAAAATGGCTATCTAATGTTAACATACGATCAACAATGGGGCTCGAGACCGCATAGATCCCACAATTTGGGCTATTATCCTTGGGACGAGGCGAACAAGGTTCCAACTCTTTCTCACTGGTACCACGACGTGATACCATTCTACATGTGTTGTATGTGGCAAGAAGAGCACGCAGTCGGTTGCGAAACGTTCAGATTCGAAAGACGACCAAGCCAAGATTGTATCGCTTATCAGTCCCCAGGCGTTGGAACGGTGTTTGGTGATCCTCATATCGCAACATTCGACGGTTTGGAATATACGTTTAACGGAAAGGGAGAGTTCGTTCTGGTGCGTGTAAATAATCTGAAAGATAAACTGGACGTGCAGGGCAGGTTCGAACAGTTGCCGAACAACGTATACGGTGAAGTTAGAGCTACGCAATTGACATCTGTAGCAGGTAATTAATTTGTAACAAATAAAAGAAAAAAAAAAAAAATAAATGATAGAAATTTGATCTCGATTCGATTAAGATTAATTTCATAATTTTTTTTTGTACAGCAAGAGGAAATAATTCAGCAACCATAGAAGTTCGATTAAGGCCGAAACATTCACAATGGAGATATCGCCTCGACGTCTTTGCGAATAATCGTCGAGTATACTTCGATAGACCATCTTTAAAATTTCAACACTTCACTGGCGTGGTTGTATACACACCCACGTATATTTTAAATCAGAGTGAAGTGATCATCATGTTCGACACCGGTGCCGGCGTGGAAGTAGTGGAAAACGAAGGATTTATGTCGGCTAGGGTTTATCTGCCCTGGACGTACTTGGTATTATTTATAAAATAAATATGAATTCATCGTGGATTTTAATAATGCACAAAGTTCATCAATTTCTCCATTTCGTTTCAGAATAAAACCAAGGGGCTGTTTGGTAAATGGAACTTTGACATTGCGGATGATTTGACAAATCCGGACGGCCAACAAGTAGCAGCATCCAACTTGAACCACTTCGAGGCTGTGCACAAAGACTTTGCGATTCATTGGATGTTGGAAGACAAAGAAGATGAGATAAAGGGCGGCGCATTGTTTACCAGAGAGTTTGGCAGAACTGCGAGTTATTATTCCAACAGAACTTTTGAGCCTGAGTGGCGGAAGTCGCCTGCAGAAATACTACCTACCAACAGGTAACTGTTGTTTCGACAGTCTATTTAACAACAGGGCGATTAAATATTGAATTATTTACAAACAAAAAAAAAAAAAAATATTTATCTTGCTTTATGTTTCAGATCGTACGATGTGCAACGAGCAATTGATCTTTGTGGGGATTCGTATCAATGTCAATATGACTATGCAATGTCGCTCAATCGTGATATGGCTCACTTTACGAAAAATTATTATAACACGTACACTCAAATATGGGATCTAAATATGAACGAGCGAGGTGGGTTGTGAAGTCTTTTTTTTTTTTAAACGATGTTATATAACTTATCTTTTGTAATTGTGTTTTACGTTTCTAGTGGTATCGTGCGGTGTATTGGAGACACCACGCTTCGGACGGAAGAGTAACTTTTTCTTCGTGCCAGGTACGAAGGTAACTTTTGAATGCAATCAGGACTTTATATTGGTTGGCGATCAACGACGTGTCTGCACTCCCGAAGGTCGTTGGAACGTGCCAGAGTACGGATATACGGAGTGCTTACGTGAGTGTTTGAATTTTAATAATTTTACATGTTCATCCCTTGATAAAACAAAGTATCAGAGAATAATTATCCGTTGTTTCCTCATTCTCATTTATGTATCTTTATCTATCTCTCAAAAATCGTTATTGATCTGCATAGCCACACTTCACGCATTAAATGAAAATTATGATTCATCATCAAAACGGTAGACCCGACTATGAAAGAGAAATAAAAGCAAATTCTTTGGTATTGCATAAATATAGGTCAGGTCGAGTATGCTCAGCGTACAGCGTGGACAACAATGGGCATTATTTGCGCCGTTTTAATTCCTGTAACAGCATGTGTCGCTGGCGCCTTTCTTTATATACGAAAGAATCAAACCCAGGGAAGTTCTGTAAAGTCGTGGCGTTACTCCGAACGCAGCTCTGGCGTTGATAATGATTCAACATTGTTGTCTCGGTTAAAAACACTTGACAGATCAGTTTCACCCGTTAGCGACACTAGCACTAGCCCGAGCGTGATTAAAAAGCCCCATTCCTATGATAAAGTTTATCGTACTCACGAGCCTTTGCCAAACAGACCGGACGTTGATTTCGAGGATAAAGACTGGGATCTGAAGGAACCCAATTCTCCAACAGAATCGGAGAAAAGTGCAACAGACTCTGTTAAAAAAGCCGGCAGTCCTAGTAAAGAAAGTGACGTGTAAAATAACGATAATATCAGACAAATCTCTGAAAAGAACATTCTTGTAATATATTTGACATTTCAAATGTTCGTTATTTTCCTTTTTCTTTTAGAACATCTCTTTCATCGATTTTTATCCTTTCACTTGTAATTATTCACAGTCATATTTTCGAAATAACGAATTAAATCGTATGCACTGAAATATCATTCGCGAATAATGCGAAGAAATAAATTCACTCACCAGAGGAAATGAATTAAATTTTACACCGAAAATTAATAAGATTTAACGTGTATATATATGCATATATACATGCTGTTTTTGCTGTGGAATAGAAATGTTCTTCATTTAAAAAACATTATTACATTATTATATCGCAGACAAGCTTTATACTTTTATAATACGTATTAATATATAATATAAATATCTGAACATGTTAAAACGCAATATCGTTTTGAATAACGAAAGTTTATTGTACTGTTATTATATGAAAAATTTGCTAATTAATGTAAAAAATTAATTTAATAAACTTTTCTGTACCTTTAAATATTCAGGAAATTTCTATTCCACATGCATGTAGTGCACATTTAATCAAATATTTGAACGGCTGACTAATCTCTGTAATGGAATGGAAATTTCCACCAAAAATATCATTATTATTTATTTACTTTTTTGCTATTTTTATCCCTTAACCTTTATCCTTTTTTTTTAAATTAATTATGTTTATTTTTGTATTTGTCAATTCGTATAGTCGTCAATTATATTAATATCAAAAATTGTATCGAAAATAATAGGTCAACAGGAATACAGTTCTCGTCAAGCAGGTATCACAGCTGGCATAATACTTGCTTGCCTAATACCAGTTATACTTCTAATTGTTTTCGTGGGGTCCAGACTTCTAAAGAAAAAGAGAGAACAAAGAGAACAGGAGGAGGCATTGTATAGGTATCGTAATTAATATTAACAAATTACAAATAATAATTTAAGCAATTATTAATTTTTTTAATTTTCCTGCAGAGCGAAAAATACAGAACACCACAGATTAAGCACACTTAAAGAAGGAGAAGAGCCTATATCGTACTCTAGTAAGGCGACAGAAATAAATTAAACAATGGACACGTTTCTAAACGAATTTTTTTTTTTCAACTTATCTCATCACATTGCACATTATATTCTTATCATTTACTCACTTCAAGACTTAATCATATTTATTTTGACTACTTTTATAATTAGATTACTTGTCTAGATTATATTATACTTACAATTAGCTAGTTATATTTAGTAATAATTATAAAACGAAACATTTATCCTTTTGTAACAGAGACAGACTTTATTTCAAGCTCAGATTGAGATCTGTGACATAAATTTTATGTGCAATTTGCATCATGTATTATTATATTACGTATGTATTATTTTATATTAATATTAATTCAATATAATAATACCCGATATCGTAATAATTAGAATTTTATACAATCGATAAAATACACAAATTATGAAATACAATTTTGTAATATCTCGGCAAAGATCAGTATTTAAATATTGCATATAATTATCCGATCGCGATTGTACTTTCACAGATATTATTTTATCTGTTAATGCGACGCACAGTGTAACAATTTTAACGTCGATACAATTGAACGTTGTACCATACGTAGTTCAACGAACTCGTATCGATGTAAATATTAAAACTGTACGTGTTCAAAAATTTCATCGTGCATATTTTTGTTATATTATACTTGCAAAGTTTCGAGGGAAAATCTGATTTTAAAAATCTAATTAATGTTGCGAGACTCGGCGACTAACTTCAGCTCGTAGAGTGGACGTTGCCCTCTCGTAACAAAAGTGGGTAACTAAGTAACGAGTTACCGACTGTTCGACGTCTCATGTCGCATTGCTCAGACGGAGTAGTAATTCTACCACCGCGTTATCCAGTGATTAAACTATTTATGTTAGACTTCCTGTTTCGGGTGTTTAGGATGCGTGCTGTCCCGTCGTTGTTCGTAGATAACTGTAATTGCGCGAATTTGCTTAGTTTACGACAAACAATCTGGTGTATAACAGTGATTCATTGAAACGCAAACGAGTGCCGGTGCCTGAGGAGATTTGTGTCAGCAAATTCGCATATTATTATAGAATTAATCACGTATTCCAAAGTAGTTGGAGCAATTTGAATTTAAGTGCGTGAGAATTGATGAAGAAAGCTACGACGTCAAAGGTATGCGTTTCTAGACACTCGGTTATCATATATCCAGTTTTTGTATTATTCTGTGGCGTTGTTGTTTTCGATAGTCTTGCAAGTATTACGACAAATCACATTAACCTATCTCTTTTGTTTTACGCATGCCAAATAATTGAAACAAGATTGTCAGACTATCTGTGATTTATAACGTACCTTCAAATACGTCCAACAACAATACGATTTCGTATGTAGGTAATTTGTAGGTAATATAGAAAGCAACGTAACCACATAGTCAATGGCATAATACAATAGCATACAGTGGTCTCGCGTTAATTTATTTCAATTACCTTCGTTATTTAGTTTTTAAAATAAAAAGTATTCTTATCGCCAGAGACGTCATTTGTTAAAAATATTTCTAGACATTAGAATAACTTATATATGGAAATATAACTTTCTCAATGATTGTTGACAACAAACAAAGTTGTCATTCGTTTTGCATAGATTTGAATTCTCAATTAGTTCGTTTTTCTTGAAATTTAAATACGTTGCTTGCTCGTTCGATCGTCCAATTAATTTTCTATTTTCATTTGTAGATCTTGGCATTCACGTAATAAAGTTAATCACTCGTTAATCATTCTACGAATTGGGAAACATGTCTGTCATATTAGAGTGGCTCGACCATGGCTAGGATGTTTATTCGGCATTCTAATACCAACAGTTGTTTATTTATATTTATTGTTAAACGGTAATATACGCGTCTCTGTTACCATATTTTCGTAACATTGACATTTCCTGTATTATTATAGTCTCTTCTACCGATATCAATTCCTACAAAATTAATGGTAAATTGAACTCGCCTGTGGACGTAGAAAAGAAGAGTCCACACGTGGGAAAGCTGCGCACAGAAAGCAATTACGAGGTACAAAATTTAGGTTGTTTCTTGAAAAATGAAAATGAAAATTTGTATTTTTATTTTACTTTATTTTATTTTTATTTCTACAAACTCGCAAAATATCGTTTGTCGTACAATCAATTAGTCACGTTACGCGGGAAAGAAGTAAAATTAAGCTTACAATTGAAAGGAAAATTATAAATCATTTAATAAAAAGAACGATTTTAATATTGAAATCAATAGATCAGCGATTTATTTTAAAGGTAAAATGCGAGACCATACACATTGCGATGGTGTGCGCCGGATACAATTCAACGTTCGCTTTGGTAACAGTAGTTAAATCCATTCTATTCTACCGCACGAAACCTTTGCACTTTCACTTGCTCGTCGATGAAATTGCAAACAGGACCTTGACAACCGTGTTTCAAACGTGGAATTTACCACATGGTTCGTAAAAAAGAAAAAAGAAGAAAGAAAAATCATCGCGATTATACTATGTTATATTAAGAGACTCATCCGTCTCTTAAATTGAATGTCAGAAATGTATGGAAAGTATAGCTTCTATTTGATAAGAATTGTATTACGTATTACGTTGATTTATGATACCGAGGTGTTCTTGACGTCTTCGTTTATCGACTTTCTTTCAACAACTTTCTTCTCCAGTGCTCTACACGCTCAATTTTTTTTCAACAAAACGCCACTTCCAACGTGATACACTTATCCAGCAATTAAGCTAGGTCACGTATACCTATTCATTGCACCCTCCACGCTAATCTGAAATGTAACCTTACCTGATGTTTCTCATTGTACTTGATTCAAAACAGTAAATTCAACTTTTCCCTCTCTTTCACGTACGTGCACGATGCCCATTAACAATGAAAGTCGTATGAAAAATGTCGAACACTCGTTGATCCAGTTGTTGCATCACTGATGAAATAAATTTTCTAAACGGCACGTTGATTCGAAATGCCTTCTGTTATTTAAGAAACGGATGACACACACACACACACACACGCTGTCAATGATTCGTGCATGTTTACAACGTTTCAGTGAATTTAACGTATTACAAAACAGAAAAATGGGTGCCAAAGGTGTCCTGGATACCGAACAAACACTACTCAGGCGTTTACGGTCTGTTGAAATTAATTCTGCCGGATGCGATGCGTGAGGATAAAGTGCTGGTATTCGACACGGATGTGACCGTGTTGAACGATGTTAGTTTACTTTGGCAGATGTTCGAGGAGTTCACGAACGATCAGGCCCTAGGGCTGACGGAAAATCAGAGTCATTGGTACATAAAGGCATTGTCCTACGGTCAGCGGCCATGGCCGGCTCTTGGACAAGGCTTTAATACCGGCGTGATGCTAATGCACTTGCAGCAGCTACGTAAGAGAGAATTTACGAGGCTGTGGGAAGCTGTGACGAAGCGTGTGCTCGCCCATATACCAGAAACTAGTTTAGCCGATCAGGATATAATAAATGCCGTTATCAAAGACCATCCTTTCATGATACATAAGATAAAGTGCACGTGGAACATTCAGTTAAGCGATCACACGATCAGCGATCTCTGTTATCGCGATACTAGTCAAATAAACGTACGTTACCCCCGTGAAAATCATTCGTAGATGTTTGTTTCCTCGATTTGCTCGATCATTATCGACCGGTTTCTTTTAGATCGTTCATTGGAATTCCCCTCGCAAGCAACACGTGTCCAATAAGCACATTAACGAGTTTCGTAAGTTGCACAGGATCTTCCTTGAGATGGACGGGAACTTATTGCGTAGACGCTTATTTGGTTGTGATAAACACGAAACTTCGTCGCAAGTAAGTTCCCCCTTTTTTTTTTTTTTTTATTAAAAAAGCGACGAATAATAGAAGTTTCATTGCAAGTGAATTGGTTTCCGATTCATATCGCATAAAACGTACATTTGTAGCAGATACCGCTAATACTCACATAACGTATTGAATTTACAGTACAACGAATCGAGTCCGTGTCGAGAGTTCACGAGAGGTGCAACCATGTTGTATCGCACTTATCCTTTTCTCCTCGAATACGAGTACAACGTGTACGCTCCAATGGACGTTGCTTTAGTAACTCAGTGTAGCGTAGAAAGGATACCGTTATTAGAAGACCTATCGAAACATTGGCCTGGTACCATAAGCGTCGCGTTATATCTCACCGACGCTGAGGTGCAGAATTTCCTGGAGTTTGTGCACGGCTCCGTCGAGTTGAGAAACAGGAAGAACATTGCATACCACGTCGTGTACAAAGATGGGGTACGTCTAATTATGATAGTCTACATCTTGTGCACATACTTTGGTAATAAAGTTTATCCGGTGGTTACAAGATGTTGAGTTATTTCATTAGCTCTTAGATACGTTGTCTGATTAACGTTAATATCGCGAAAATTACGCGAGTGGCTATCTTTATTTTATATTCTTATGCAAACTGTTGTTGCTGGAAAACATTCGAACATATATATACGAATTCCATTCATTTATCGAGAAAAGTGCACGAATGGATTCTGGTTGAATGGTAACAGATGCTTTTCTCTCGTCTGCCGGTGTCGTACGATCCTCTACATACGTACACATAAGCTTTTACATACATATTTTAACAAGTGGGGCAAAATCTGGCGCCAGAAGTTGAAGCGGAGTAGAATCTGGCGTCAGAATGGCCGGCAGATTCTTGGAAAAAAAAAAAGCATCACTTCTCTTGCATGCGTTATGCTGACTAAATCCAATGAAATGTATCCATTTAATAACGTTTAAGCAAAAAAACAATGAATACACAGGATACCCCAAAAATGCCCTATAAAATCAAATATTAATATATCAAACACTAACATTTAACTATACAGTATACTCTTTTTCATCCAGGAACTCTATCCTATCAATTATTTACGAAATATTGCGATGTCGTATATATCGACTCCGTTCATCTTTCAATTGGACGTTGACTTTTTGCCGCAATACGGACTATACGAAACTCTTATGGGTTATATCGTTAAATTGAATATCAGCGAATCGGACAAAGTAGCTTTGATCGTCCCTGCATTTGAAACGGAACGTTATAGGTATTCTACTCATTAAGATAGATTAAACACTCGCATGGTGTACGCTACACGTATTCTTTGTAGGTTTGTCTTCCCGGCCAACAAGGATGAACTCTTGAAGTTCTTGAAACGTGGCATTCTGTACACATTTCGTTACCACGTTTGGACTCAGGGCCATGCTGCTACAAATTACAGTTATTGGAGGAACACGATGGAACCGTATCAAGTACGTGTATTGAACCGAATCTCAAAGTTCATTTCGCTTGTAAGTAAATAAATCAATGGTGCGCGACAGGTCTCCTGGGAACCAGATTTCGAACCGTACATCGTTGTTTCAAAATTGGCGCCTCGATACGACACCAGATTCATCGGTTTCGGATGGAACAAGGTGTCCTACCTAACACACTTGACCGTATTGGATTACAAGTAAGAGGCGTTTCATAAATATCCTTTTGTAAATCACTTAAAAACAATCGAGCAGAATAGCACGGTGCCATAAATTGGAGATTTATATAGGTACATTGTCTTGCCGGATACATTCATTATCCATCGGCCTCATGCCCCTAGTCTCGACATCGGCAAGTTTAGAACTGACTCTATTTATAGAAGGTAATGTGCCAATAAGCGTGTAATGTCAATAAAGTAAATAGGGGAAAGATAAAATGGCCAATGCTCGTACGATATTTGTATTTCAGATGCCTAAAAAAGTTGAAGGACGAGTTTGTTGAAGAACTGGTGATGAGGTACGGTTTGAGTACGCTGTTAAAATTAAAGAAAATGACCAAAGAAGAGAGAATATTAAAGTTTGTTGAATCTAAAAAGTAATCCAAAATATTATATTTATAAGAAAGACTGTGAAGACACTGGTATTAAATAACTATTTTCTCAATAAAAAGATATTTGAAAAACCGCAGTCACATCTTTATTTGTTCTCTGCCAGTCATTATTCAAAAATTGGGTACAAACAAGATTGAAACACGATGACGGGGTTGGGAAATATTTATTAAAATTTAACCATCGTGGAGTGTACAGAGTGGTGCTTTCAGTACATTCTCTTAATATTACAGTCACGCTAAATATTTTATTTATAAAATATGTATAGTATTTACAATGATATACATAGTACATTGACGATGGCGTATAAATTATAATCGGCCGAAACGTTATACAGAGTAAAGCTAAATTTTATTATAAGGCAAGTAGTACAATTTCTCTCATAAAACCTCCTACGTAATGATGATCACAATGATAATAACAGCGCAATATAACGGTGTATAAATTTAATAGAGCGACATGAATATTAAATATTAACGACAGCGATATTGTCAGTAATAATAGCAATAATAATAATGATGATAATAATAATAACATGAATACAAATGAAAAAGAGAATACGTAATAAAGTAGAAGAAAAGAAGACATAATCAACGTTCGCAAAGACTTTTATCTCGATTATCCATCCTTAATCTTTCTATGTCATCTAGGATCTAAAGTAAAAGAACAGAAAAAAATCTTGATTGCTACTTTTTTTTTTTTTTTTTTACTAGGGAATTTCTTACACCTATATCATGACACGCAAACATAGTTCCTTTACATTTATGATAATCCCTATTTACGATAAAAACACTTCACAGCGTTCTTATCCTGTACAACTTAGAGCTGTACGAGATACGAAAATATGTTAATGAAACGTCATTTATTCATAACTCGGCCCCATAAAAGTCCGCGTACATACTCGTCGAGCACGAGAAACGTGGATGCGGCTGATCCACGGTAAACAGCGCCCTAACAACTCTCCGTTAGGAACATACTTCACATTCTGTTATACTATTATTACACTTGTCGTAGTATACATGTGAAAAGTCCTATTTTAATATGTATATTCTTTAAACAAGTGGAATGAGTTAGGCAGTTTCAACGATGATTAGGACACGACTCGAACGATCAATCGAGAAAGCACGATCTTTACTTATTTATTTATTTATTTTTTTTTCATTTAAATCTATGTCAAATGTAACTTGCTCCACAAATCAATTGGTTGCTCGAGACTATTTTGTACCTTTTTTTTTTTTCTTTGTCGATGATCAAATTCGCAAGCGTACATTCTTTGCCATAAATATGCTTAAAAATTCAAAAAAAAAAAAAAAAAAAAAATCGTCTCGACTAACCAATCGATTTCAGACAGACTCGTACCAGCATCGTTCGTAAATAGAAAAGCTTCCTATGTATCTTTGTCTCCTTTCTTAAGCTCCTTCGTATGTTCACAAGAAACAGGGCGCTCGGCATGTATTTTCTAAATACATAGCGTCACGCGAGCATAATGTTCCCAAACAATTTGACAAAGGAGATCAATTTCTTTCGAAAGTTTTGTAGTCTAAGGTAACGCCGGTTGTACATTAAAAATCTTATCCGCCTCGCGGTGGAGATCGTCGCCCATCGAAGCGTCTATTTACATACGTTTACATTCGTTTCGCAGATTCGCAGATTCGAACAGTGATCGTTTCAACGATCAATTAGTTCAGGTGAATTTGTTTCTCGCGCGAACATCGCGGCCGATTATTCGTACGACGAATTTGTGTGCTCGTGCTGGCGAACGCAATTCCTTCGGTTCGAGTAACTTAGAAAAGAGAAACGAAATTACGTGGGTTTCTTAATTTCGAAAGTGGTCAGTCTTCGAGGAACGGTGAAAAACAATTCGACGAACAAGTAAAAAAGAAAAAAAAAAACGCGACGACGTTCACGCTTAAATCTACAACGATTCAAATTCGACGAACGGCAACGATTGCTAACAACACACTCGGAAATTGGATTCAAAAGTTCGTGTCCGACGTATCCTCGGCTTTCTGACAGTTGTTCGCGCGAATGGAAATTTGCGACTTGGAATGAAACCACGGAGCGCAGCGTTTTACCTCTCATTTCCGAGAATTAATGAACTATTATGAACTTTCTTACACTATGATACTACAGCCTGAAAGAACCAGCGAGAACCAGCGCTTGAGAGATGCGTTTAAAAACGGAAATAGGGTAATTAGGAAGATTATATGCCTTTTGGAATGTATTCAACGTTATTCGCTTCTCTCGCGGATGCTTTTCAAATGAATACGCCATTATGAAGTAAAACGCAGCGAGATACTCAACGTCCATTTGAAAAAGTTCTAAACGTAGTTCGTGCTGCTAACTTTTTCACCATTTAAACGGCTGTAATCGAATGAAAGTAATTTATCAACCTTCGGGGGGGAAAGAAAAAGCATCATTGTACTGTTGTGTAGCTTATTTCTATAACGTGATGTATTAAAAGTCGAAATTGCTCGAAAGTTAATTTTCGATTGTGATGGATGAATTTATAAATTCTTTCTAATGGAAATGATATTAATACTAATCTTTGCTTTCTGCGAAAATATTTCGAAGCATCCACCCCTGATGAAATGAAACTCGTAAATTAGTTGTATTGGACGGTACATTCGTATCCTTACCGGACGACGCAGATCAAGAACTTGGCGCCAATATCTCGGTGATGAGACTAACAAGAAAATGTCATATGTACAATCCTCGGCACGTTCGTACGATGAAAGTCTACCGATTGCAGCTACCGTGTTTATCGTGGCGCTCTGAAAGTCAGATTTTACGCGATTTTTAAGTACATCTCCGGCAGCGTGAGACGTGGAATGCACAACTGGTCGAGTTTACATCTTCGAAGAGAGAGAAAAAAATAAAAAAACAAATGATTGCAACGTCGATACTGATCCTAAGTAAGTGGCAAAATCTTCTCACACAGAGAAACAGTTTTCCATTCGCGTTATATAAGTTTGTAAAATACGTCTACGAATCGTAATAAATCGCGCAGCACATCTACCGAGAAATAATCCTACCTCATTGTGCCCCATGGAGGTTCGCTTGCAAACTGCGTAAAAAATCCGTCCATTTCGAATCGCGACCTCGCGTTAAACGGCCGGCGATCGTCGAGCCAAATCGATGATCGCGACCAAACGATTCGACGAATTCCTCTGATATTTCCACAAATCGGGCAGATTTTTCCTCTGGCAATTGAAAGGTAGCAGCGTTTCGCGCGTTTGGCTGTGGTCGGCTGATACGAGGAACAGGGCTCGTTACGCGTTTCCCCATCGGCGCTCGATAATTCCGCAATCCGGCCGGAAAACCCGGTAACAAGTGCCAGGACGTCATCCTTTCAGCTCTACTCTATTAACGTCCTCGTCGACGCCGCGAGCCGTCTTTTCACCACCGCCCGTTGGATCGTTTCTCTCGTCTCGTCCCGTCTCGTCGAGATCTCGCGTGTGTGCCTCATTAAAAAAATACTAAACCGTGACAGAGAAACCCACCGACATTCGCAATTACACGGACTTTAGGCATCTTCTCTTTCCGAACCACCGCCTTTTCTCGCTCTCTTTCGCCTTCAATTTCCGCCACGGCCGTAACGACTTCAAGCGGATATACACCCGACAGGTACACGCGACAGAGAGATAGACTGGGAGATAGATCAAGTTGGACGAAGGATCGAAGCAACAGTGATCGAAGGAGTGAAAGGGATGTAGTCTGAACGACGCGGAACGTAAGTAAGTTGTGTTATCGTAACGTTCGAGAGTCAAAGAGGAAGGTAGGGCCGAGCAACGTAACAGCGCGCACGAAAGTATTCTCGCCATGATAATTGCACGTTGCGGTGCAGGTAGATTGAATGGCGTTGGTTCGTCGCGTACGCATCCTCTGGTGAACACGCCGCTGCTAATAGTACATGGAGCACACGGTGGGAGATGAGGTCGACCTTTACATTATAATTGCGTGGATCGTACACGCTCCATTTTCGCGTGTACCGCTATTCATTACACGGAGGCAACTGTGGCGAATCGAGGAGTGGTTGCGTTCACGCGAATCCGCTGAATGCGAAACCATCTCCTCGTCAACGACGTGAGCGGTGTTTGCGTCCCCTCCTGCTTGTTCCCCTCTTACGGGGGAAACTTCTATTTTCTATTTTTTCCAAGGGATTTCTATTTTTGTCAAATTGATGGAATTGGTGGTGGCCGCGGACGATTCTCACCACCGCTGAACTCGACAAAGGTACGCGTGCGTGCGTGAGCACCAAACAGAAAAAGAAAAAAGAAAAGAAATCGACGCGGAGAGGAATTGAATTAAAACAAGGTGTGATAATTACGGACGAGGTGAAATCCTAGAAACCTGATGACCGTTTCGTCGCGATCGATCTCTCGGGATGAGCGGGTACGCGGAGAATAATTACGGACGAGGCGTATCTTCCCCGCGCGATCATCGTGGGGCGCGTGGGCGTGTTGCCGCGGAGAATCCGTCAAAATACAAAATTACAAAAATATACTCGTGGCGCCGTACCAACCGGCCGTGCCGCGCTTGTTTGCCTCGAACGTGCCTACGTTTACGTGTAAACAGCGTCGTTGAATTAGCGTGCGATTAAGGTCCGTATTGTGTATTTACAGGGCGCGGCACAACGATTGGATCGGGCGAGCCGCGACTCTGCTAGGCCGCTTAAAATCATTCGCGATGAGCCCGTTCGTGTAATCTCGCTTCCGCGCGAGGATCGTTGACGATCTTTGTGCGAAGGAGCGTTCGAGATCATTTCTTTGAATTGGAAATTTTTTTCGTACGCCTCTCTCTCCCTCTCTCTCTCTCTCTCTCTCTCTCCTTCTCTCTGGGATCGTGGATATTATTCGTTCGATTTTTTAGTGGCGATCGCTTGCGCTGGGCAACTGATTGCGGACCATAACGAGTGACCGAACCGTATACAATAATTCGTCGCTTTCTTTATGAACTCGGTCGGTACAGAAATGATTGAGAAGTAATAAATTTATCATTTGTTTCGCCTACTTTGTTTCACTTAAATATACTTGCAATTTTGAAAAGAAAAATTCTCGACGTCACTCCAGCGCAAGAGATTACAAACGATCTCAGAGGATCGAGTTCGATATTTTGTTGATATTTTACATTGTTTTCATTTGCGGAAAGTGAAAAGCTCGTTGGAATGACGGCAGAGTAGATTTGATTAAGAAGATCGTTGGTTTTCTTTCGATTCTTACTCCTCCTCCGATTCAATTCGTGTTAATTGTCAATTAAATCTACTCGTAAATTTTAACATCTATCATTCAACAAGCGAAAGCGCAATTTTCAGAGATTATTCGTCGTGAGAGTTCTTGCTTCCGGAACAGCTAGTTAAGAGATCACTGTACATTGGCACCTATTTTTTATTCGTTCTCTTTCCGGGAATGTTACGTTAAGAAGACTTTGTACAATTCGTCGGAAATGCAGAGAAAACGAAGTTACACGATCGCGCCGCGATTTTCTCCGCGCCGTCCCATCGACATCGCGTTCGTCGTCGTTGGACGTTGTTTCGTAATACTGCTCAGGTGTATCGCGATCCTCGGGGAAGATATATCTCGTCTTTCGCTAAATCTTTGTTTCATAAAATTGACGCGTCACAGGTGTAAAAAAAAAAAAGAAGAAAAAGAAAAGTAAGACTACTTTCTCAGTAAAATATTAGTAAAATATTATAGAAGATATCAATAAAATGACGAAATTTTTCACATTGCCTTGCAGTAAATGGAATACAATCGTAACACTTTTTCTTCTCCTTTTTATCTAAGCAGATTCTTTCGAATATTTAATACGTACGAAAGAATACTATTAATCCGTTTCAAGGGAAGAATATGAAACTGAAATGTCGTTCAACATTTTTCTCCTCCATTTGGTCCAGCAAACGGAAATGTTT